TAGCAATTTGGTGTTTAATAAAGCCAACCATCCAAGCTTTTGGTATTTAAAAAAAACCCAACTTATTATTTGACACAACTTGCACTGATTCACTACTTTCTCAGCAAGCATCAGGTTGTGTTTAATAAACCAAACCATCCAAGCTTTTGGTATTAAAAAACAACAACAACAACAACAACTATTATTTGATAAAACCTGCTCAGGAAAACTGGAAAACAGTATGGCAGAAACTAAGTAGAGATCACATCTCACACTGCATACCAAAATAAAGTCAAAATGAGTACATGATATAGACTTAAAAGGTGATGTCATAAGCAAATTTGGATTGCATGAAATTGTTTATCTGTCTGTTATATTGATAAGGGGAGAATTTAGGACCAAATAACACATATTATACACAATTAAAAAGTTTTTGTGCAAGCAAAAGTAGAAGGAAAGCAGAAAACTCGGGAAAAAATTATAGCAAGTATCTCTGATAAAAGATCTCATTTTCCAAATATATAGAGAACTGAGTCAAATTTATAAAAATACAAGTCACCCCCCAATTGATAAATGGTCAAAGGATGTAAAGAAGCAGTTTTCAAACAAAGAAATCAAAGCTCTCTGTAGGCATGTTAAAAAAAACCCCAATAACCTCTAAATCACTATTGATTAGAGAAATGAGAATTAAAACAACTCTCAGGTACCACCTCATAACCATGTAAATGTGAATGAGTTGAACTCACTCATAAAATGGAAATGAAGGGGAGGAAATGGAATGGAAAGATAAAATTTGAAACTCAAAACAAAAAAAAATCAATGAATATTAAATATTGATTTTGCATGTAATTGGGGAAAAGTAAAATACTACTTAAACATTCATTACATATTATTATATATTCAACATTTATTACATATTAGACACTGTGTTAATCCCTGGGGATAGTAAAACAATTTTTTTTTAAATGATGAGACATATTGGAAATCTTGTAAGGATATAATTATTCTCTCCTCATATTTATATTAGAAGAGTGAAGAATCAGGCAAAGTCTGATATGTAACCTAGGTTTAGATAGCAATTTTAAAATAGTTTAATATAATGATAGTCTGCCATGGATTAAAGTTATATAAGGCAAATGAGTCCATGAGAGACGGGAATTTTTCAGAAATGAAATTGTGAAAACAGAGAAGAACAATTTTAATGTGGAAATTGGCTAAAGATACTGATGTGGATTCAAAGGGAATTCAGTGAGAAAGTGTGGATATTTCTAAGTCATGTGACTAACATAGACAAAGGACTAGGCATTTTTTCTGAGCCTCATCATTTCTCATACCTCTTAAAATACAAATTATTTTGACAAAAGTTTAAGTAATTTCAGCTGTTTCCACAGTTAACAACACCAAGGAACCTATCAAGGTGAAAACTCCATGTACTAACAGCAGAGAAAGACAATTTCCTAAACAAAAATATTCTCATACAGCACCGCCCTGACCCCCACCTGTCATGCTCTGGACAGGGGGCTTACGCCAATACACTGGCTGGCAAGAGAACTCAACTCTAGTCATTCTGTCCCACCAGGGCAGAAGCTTTCAAGAGCAGGTTGTCACAGTGTGTTCTTCATATCCACCTGGCCTTCATGAAGCAAGGGGCTTAGGATTGAGCTGGAGCCAGTTCTGTGCCTGCAGCAGTAAACAGAGAGAGACTTGGGGCAAATATGCCTATGTAGAAAGCTGGGATAGCTTTGAGCAGTAGGAAAATATAAGTTAAAGTGACTGAAATTACCAAAGATCACAGTAAGAAGAAAAGTCAGTTAAAGACCTATCTAGCATAAACACATAAATGAACAAGGAAAATATTAAAAGAAAATAATATAGTCTCCACATAAACTAATGTCCAGAAATCTATGAATAAATATTCTAAGACAAAGGAAAATGAATTATTACCTCAAGAAACAGAGGACCCTGTAGATTACCTAAGAGAACATGGAATTGCATCAGACTGTTCATGAATGGTTTAAAAGAAGAATACCAATTGTAAAAGCAGAGTTTATGGCCTGAAAAGCAGACACAATTATAGTTAGCAGAATAGAAGACTTAAATTCATGGTAGCAGGTCTCATCAAAGAAACAACAGAGAGAATAAGTGATTGGGAATGCAAATATTTTATAAAAGAAAGACAATCTGGAAAAGAAGTAAAAACTATGTTTAAAAAAAACATTATCTCCATGTTAATAAAACATATTGATCTCAGAAACAAGGTAGATCTCTAATAAAGTAAGGGTTACAGGTCTCCCAGAAGACAGTGACAATTCAATAAAACCTCAGCATTATAATGCTGGAAATGACACAAGAAAATTGGCTTGACCTTCTGAACACAGAAAATGAAATCCAGATGGAAAGCCTCCACAGATAATCTCCAGAAAACAAACAACCAACCAAAAATTAAAAAAAACAAAACAAAACCAAAACAAACCAAAAAAAAAAAAACTCCAAAAAACCCAACCAACTAAAAAACAAAAACAAAAACAAGCAAACAAACAAACAAAAAACAAAACAAAAACTCCAAAGCAGAGTGGTTAAATTTAACAATTCAATAACAAACATATTCTGCAAGTAATTAGGAGAAACACCTTCAATATAAAAGAAAACAAATTCAGGTAATATATGACTATTCTATATATGCCAAAAAGTTCAGGAGGGAATGGAATAATGTGTTCCAAAGAAAAAGGCAGTGGAGTGTCAATATGTCAAGATGATATACCTTGAAAACTTGATTCTAGCCATTAATGAAAAAAGGTAGATACTCAATAAAAAGAGGCATCCTGAGGATTCTTAGAAATGATACCAGAACTGAAGAAATTATTTGTTTTAAATTTTTTTTAGAAATGCAGGAAAGTTAAACAAGTGTAGAAAGCACAAACTAACAAAATTGCAACAGAGACTATTGAGAGATTTCTAAAAGTACACAGAAAGATAAAGGTGAAAACATAATTTAAAAGTGACAGTACAGAAATAGACCTGAAATATCATGAACTAAAACTTCTCAAAACCTTGCCTGCAGATGAAACAATATTTTCATAGGATTAAATTACAGAATGTGAAGGGCTTCAAAGGGGAAATGGGAGCAATAAAGAAGGGAATATGTAATACATTCTAATGATAAGGGAAAAGTAACTCTCACAAAGAGAGCTTACTGGAGAATGGATAAGGGGAGGGCAGTACAGATTGAAATGGGGTAGAGGGAGAAGAAATCTCACATCAGAAGTGAGAGAGTATATCACTGACAGAAATATCAGTTCCTCATCAGGAAAGAGAGATACTCTATAAATGGAGCTCAATACAATGCAATGAGTATAAAACGTAGGGATTTGGTGCTTAGAAAGACCATTCATTCCTCCTTGGGAAGAGAATCAGAGGTCAATGAGGTAATTGGCGCACAAAAGAGTGGGAGGTCATGAACCCATAGAGGAGATTTCTTGGTAAATAGGGGGAAATGACCATGGTTAAAGTAAACTCTAATAATGAACTGCACAATCAGGGACAAAAAAATTCCTGTTATGGGGAAATATCCTCTTTATCAACTGCAGGAATTTATATTTTTTGAAGAGAGAAGCACAACAGAAAATTGGAAAGACCTACAAAGCAATAACTGAAGACATAGGTGAAAGGAACAGAAATCCCTGAAGAGTAGTAGCTCTTGGTTCAAATAAGAACCAAAGAACCCACTGTTTATGGAGGTGATTAGTTTGAAATAAACCTGAAAGGGTAGTTTGGACCTGTTCTGTGAAAAATTGTAGGGGGTTGGAGCCAACTTGTTGGAGTAAAAGCAGTGATTTGCCTTGAGCTCTCCCCCAAACCCCTCCAAATACCTATAAAAAATGGCTCTAAACAAATTCTAAAGCAGCAGAACCCAGGAAAAGACAGAGGGAAACAAATTTCCAGCCCAAGACAACCTGAATGATTGATTGGAAAGGTCTATCATGCAGGACTGGGAGAGGAACGCAGTTTGGTGTGGGTGTGTGCAGGCAAACACCAGGCCTAGCAAACCTGGAGCTGCCCTCAGAGGACTGAATCACGGGCAGCAGTGGTGGTTTCCTGACTTTTCAACCCATACATACCTAAGACAACTTAGAAGGTTAGTAGGAAAAGTCTGTGACTGCTGTGAGAAGCTCAGTCCCAGCCCCAGTCCTCCCATAAGGCCCCAGGGTGGCACCTGCTTCCTGAACTTCCAGCCCACTGATTGAGTGGGAAGCCAGTGGCTGATCAAAGGTGGATTGCAGGGATCTCTTTGCTGGTGCTGAGGCAGGATTCTCTTGCTTTGCCCATTCTTGGATCTGGGTCACAGTTCTGGGTAGTTGTCCTGGGGTGAGGAAGAGTGATGGCACGGTGGAGCTTGTAGTGGTGGTAAAGAGAAAATCCTCACAGTTCCAAGGCAGAAAAGAGTGCATATGGTCACTCATAGACCCTAGCCCAGGCCAGAAAAGGAGTAAATACCTCACCCTTGATCATGCCACCTTGGAAGAACTGAAAACTTAAAGGTCCCTAGAAGTATCTCTGAAAACAGCTGCACAAAACCCCTGAAGCTTGAGGCAGTACATTCTACACACGGGAAGCAGATCCCTACTTTAACAAACAGTTTATAACTCTAGTAATTGGCTGGGATCATGAGCAAGCAGGGCAAAAAAAGTCAGATCATAGAATCTTTCTTTGATGACAAAGAAGATGGAAACATTCAACCAGAAGACAGTAATGTCAAAGCTCCTACATCCAAAGCCTCCAAGAAAAATATAGATCTAAATAGGTGACTTTCAAACATTCAGTCAGTGGGCTAATAGCTCTAGGAGCTGTGCTGCTGCTGCCGCCAATGCAATGGCTACTGATTCTGTCACTCTGAAGTCCTGCTCCTGGTTTGCTGAGGCGAAGGCTACTGTGCTTCTGTCTCACTCAATTCTGACAGAGCCCACCCACTGACTTTTTAAATTGTCTTTGCCTTCTATGCACTGAGAAGACTGAAAACTTACTATTGCCAGTGATCCAGTCTCCGTGGGGCCTGCTCCATCTTTGCTTCGGCCAGGTTTGCACTGCACCCTCTGAGCTGCACTCTCCTCTCTCAGGCTGGTGCAACTGACCTTTCTTGTGGACCTTCCAGGTTGTTGTGGGTTGGGAATCTGTCTCATTCTGTCTCTTTGTGGGTTCTACCACTCTAGTATTTGTTCAGAGTCACTTTATAGAGTTATTTGAAGGAGTTTGGGGAAGAACTCAGCCGAGTTCCGGCTTTCACTCCACTATCTTGGCTGTACCCCAGCAGTAATTATTAAAAACTAATTTGAACAGAAAGAGTACTGACAGGCGGCGGGGCGGGGGCGGGGGCAGGGGGTGGGGCCAGGGCCCGGGGCCGGGCCCGGCGGGTGAAGCACTAGCCCCCTCGGCCGCACCGCCACCATCGCCATCATGGAGGACAAGGTGTGCCTGAAGGAGCTGGACCAGTGGGTGGAGCAGCTGAACGAGAACCAAGTGCGCACGCTCTGCGAGAAGGCTAAGGAAATCCCTCACAAAAGAATCCAACGTACAAGAGGTTCGTTGTCCGGTCACTGTGGTGATGTCCACGGCCAATTCCACGATCTGATGGAACTCTTTAGAATTGGTGGGAAGTCGCCAGACACAAACTATCTCTTTATGGGTGACTATGTGGACAGAGGCTATTACTCAGTGGAGACTGTGACTCTTCTTGTATCACTAAAGGTGCGCTACCCAGAGCGGATCACGATACTGAGGGGAAACCACGAGAGCCGGCAGATCACCCAGGTGTGCGGCTTTTACAACGAGTGCCTGAGGAAGTACAGCAACGCCAACGTTTGGAAGTACTTCACGGATCTGTTTGACTATCTCCCACTCACGGCACTGGTGGATGGACAGATATTTTGCCTCCGTGGTGGCCTTTCTCCATCCATCGATACATTGGATCATATCCGAGCCCTGGATCGTCTGCAAGACGTTCCACACGAGGGCCCGATGTGTGACCTGGTATGGTCTGATCCCGATCATCGTGGCGGATGGGGAATTTCTCCACGAGGGGCTGGCTACACATTTGGACAGGACATTTCTGAAACTTTCAACCACGCCAACTGCCTCACGCTCGTTTCCCGCACTCACCAACTTGTGATGGAGGGGTACAACTGGTGTCATGGTCGGAATGTGGCTACCATTTTCAGCTCACCCAATTACTGCTATCGCTGTGGGAACCAGGCGGCTATCATGGAATTAGATGACACTTTAAAATATTCCTTCCTGCAGTTTGACCCTGCGCCCCGTTGTGGAGAGCCCCATGTCACACGGCGCACCCCAGACTACTTCCTATAGACAGCTTTGGGAAAAACTTAAGGACAAATAGCTGGAGATACACTCTGCATCTTTTTGACAAAGCAATGAGAACAGACATGTTTGTGTAACAAGTTGGATCCCCGTCTGCCTCCACGCCCATCATGGACCAAACTGTGCCCTTGTACGCTCAGCACTGAGCAAGCCCACCGAGGCTGAAAGCCAACCCTGCCCCGTCTTAGGTCGCTCAGTCAGCCTGCCTGCTGTATTTGGGCTCCCTGTTTTCTTCTGGACTGTTCAACAGAAAAGGTAACTCATGCCTCCATCTCCTTTTGCTCTTATTAATATGTAAATTTTAGTTTTAGTGTTTAACTGGCATGGATTATAGAATTTGGAGTTTATTTTTAAAGAAAATGCACAAACTAACTTTGACATAACTCATCACCTTTTATTTTATTAAAATGTATGATTAACTTAACTGGAGAAAGGTGAAGATTCCCCTTGGGAGTAAGTTGTCAACATTTAGAGAGATTTCCCTTCATTTAAGCTAAATGACTGTTCTGTGTTGATCTCCCTTTTTTTTTTCTGTATATTTGTCACAGAAGTGCTTGCATCTTCTTGGGTGTATTGGAACAATAAACTTTGAGTTGTAAACCAAAAAAAAAAAAAAAGACTACTAACATATATGGGCTGTCCAGTGCATCCTCATGTAGGATGTAGTGCTTGGGCTAATCTTTGAAGGTAAATAAGGCTGGTAAAAGGCCCAATTGAGGAAGGAGTATATTCCAGTTATAGTGGTAGATTGTACAAATACATGGGGGAATGAGATGGAAAATTGTGTTTAGGTAACAACTCATCATCTAGAAAGGCTGCAACAAAGACATTTATGACTCTTCATTTACCTTCACCTCTCTAATGACCAATTCCTGACTTTTTCACTTAAGCAACAAATAGCTTATCTGATTCTTTTTCTTCTACAGATTCTCATTGCCTGCTTCTTATTGTTTTGAATCTCCTGATGTGCCTCCCTGCCCTAGATTTTCTTTCACCTCTTCAGATCCCCTTTAGCTCTTCCCTTTGAAAGTTAAAAAAATATATATTCTATTTGACCATTTTCTCCAGAGGTTTTATTGTGATACACTAAGATTTTTTTCCCCCCTAGAATGCTTTAGGAGTATCAAGGATATAAGCTTCATAGAGTGATTATTTCTCTTATATTTTGCTTATGTGAGAAGCATATCTGCAAGATTCCTAACACTCAAGCAGAGAATTTCATCTACAAATCCTCTATACTGCTGCCTGATAATTCTTTACGTATAGAGAAATAGTCATGTTCTTTCTTGCCCCCCACCAAAAAGAATTGCTCAGTATTGACTGTCAGAGATATATCAACACATTTGCCAGATTTTTAGCTTCCCTGCAATCCTTACCAAGGTACCACCCTACCTTTCAGGCCTTATTGTATATTGCTCACTCCAAACTACACTCTAGTCTAACTAACTCTGTTCCTACTTCCACCTCTTAGAATTCTTAGTTTCCTTCAAGGTTTAGTTCAGGGGCCACTTCCTACCTAGAGTCTTGTCAGATCTCCCAATTTTTAGTTCTTCTTCCCCTCTACAAATCACCTCAAATTTACTTCTCAGCATACTTGTTATATGTCCACCAGTTGAATGTAAGTGCCTTGAGGGTAGGAACTAATTTTCCTTTTGTCCCAGTACATTGCACAGGAGCTACCAAATGTTTGCTGAATTAAACTGATTGGCAAAATTGTTCTCCTTCTTAACTTTTCCCTTCCGTATGCATTTTATTATCAGACTCCCTTAACAGGGAAAAAATTATCAAAAGCCTTTGGGAAAATCTAAATTACACTCAACAGAAGTCTAAGTGAACTCATGTCTAGGACTTAAATTGTTCTAACAAGAGCATATTCTGTACAAGGACTCTTTCATACAATTTGTTCCTCCTACATTATAGGAATGGCCTGAATTAGAGCACTTGAACCTCCCAGCTTGATAACTTCCCTCCCACACTGTCCCTTTCTTTATTACTCTAAAGGAACAAAAAACACACAGAATGTTTAATTCACCAATGTCACTTTCCAAACATTGGATAAAATATTCTCCCTCAACCCCCATGAGAATTTACTATCATTCTGAATTATCAGATTTAATTACCCCATTCTTAGCACACACAGTCACAAATGTCATTGGTCATAAAATTATGTTCACTTCTTTTGAATTCCAGTTTCTCTCCTGAATGTGATGATCTTCCCTTGCAGTGAATTCTTGGTGCTGACTAAACACTATATATCTTTTAATTTGATTTAAAGTAAATTCTTTTAACTTCATTGAGTGACCCCCTTTTTCACTTTTCTTTATGAGATTCTGTCAGACACAGTTTATGGGATGATGTCTCATAAAAACAGAAAAAGGGGGTCAGCCAATGAATTTAGCAGGTAGATTTAAAGGGAGTCTTTTTTTTTTTTACTATGCTCTCCATAATCTTAAATGCCTTACATTCCCTCTAGCTCTCCCCTTTGAAGGTTAAATAATCTTGGATTTTGCCACTTTCTCCAGATGTTTTATTGTGCCATGCTAAGGTCTTTTTTTCCCCCCTTCACCTAATATGCTTTAGGAGAATCAAGGAGAGAAGCTCTATGTGAGGAATACATCTTTGGAATTTTTAACATTGAAGTATATAATTTCATGTAACTAAATCCTCTCTTAAAAGAGCAACTCATGATTTATTTTAAACATAATCAACTGATTTTCTGGAGAAGATAAAAAATTAAATGGGTGAGATTATATGTGTGTACACACATTTAAACTTTCCTTAAGTGTGTATAATTGGGAGCTGTGTATTTTACATTAATCCCAGGTTATTACTAGATACTTTATGAACAATCAATAGTGATATCAGACACTTTTAGAGTGAGTTAATAGGGAATAGGTTTTTACCTGAAAAACTGCAGTTATTTTCTTGCTGCATCTTTATGTACAATCAAACACATACAACCACTTTTCTTGGACCAGTCCAACTGGGACATGTGGGAGGAGGGATAAGGTATAACCTGCTACCAGTATAGAAAGGGTGCATTTATTCCTCTATGTACTTTATCAACAAGGTGGAATAGAAAGCTCTCTAGATTTGTGCTTATTGTTTATGTGACATTGGCCAAGTCACTTGACTGCTGTGAGTAAGTTTCAGTTCCCTTGTCTGTAAGATGAGGATACAATTTCCTTTCATTACCTATCCCCCACCCCCAAGAGAGCCCTGGACAAAATACTTTGTAACATGCTTTATAAATGTGAGCTATTATTAGTTATGGGGAAAGGAAAAATGAGGCTCCTCCTTATCCTATATTTTGAACAAAGGAGAGGGCGCCTGAATAGAAGCTAGGAATCTGTTAAGCAAGCACTAAGTTAAGCTAAAAGCAATATACAAATCCTCACAATCAAATATTACACTCCACATCCTTACCAAAGTAACAATCTTCTTCACTGCAGAAAATCAGAGGATTTATCACTGAAAAAACAAGCTTAGGGATTTTTTTAGTTCAACTCCTTCCTTTAAAGATGGGGAAACTGAGGTCAAAATAAGATAAATTAATTGCTCAGGGTTGTTGTTGTTTTATTGTTTAGTTGTTTCCAGTCCTGTCCAACTCTTTGGGACTCTATTTGGGGTTTTCTTGGCAGATATTGTAGTGGATTGAGATTTCCCTCTCCAGCTCATTTTACAGATGCAAACAGTTAAGTGACTTGGCCTGGGGTCATGCAGCTAGTAAGTATCAGAGGCCAGTTCTGAACTAAAAAGAAGAGTCCTCCAGACTCAATACTCTATCCACTATGCTACCTAATTGCTCTAAGGTCACCCAGGTAGTAAGTAGTAGGTACGGTATTCAAACCGGGCCTATCTGAGTCTAAGTACAGTGGTCTGTCCACTATAACAATACCAGCAAGGTCTTGATCTGATAAAAGAAATTAAATTTTGAAAAACTG